CGATCACTTTGTTCCTGCCCATTTGTTTATTCATCTATGATATTTATTTAATTTAACTTTCAATATAAATGTTGGTATTGAACAACATTATTTGATTTCATTATTGGAAGTTATATTGAGATTAAGTATTGAACACCATTATTTGATTTCATTATTGGAAGTTAAATTGAGATTAAATTATGACCGGAGATTCAATTCGGGCTCTCGGTCTATTATTGCATGTGCTGCTGTGTTAACGACGCCATCCACATAAGCATGAGCTGGCTATTCTTCACCGGAATGGTTATGAAGTGCGGTTATAGAGTCCCTATCACAATGGGCAGTTTTTCATGGCTGCAAGTTGTGTGAAGAACTTAGTGTTTGTTTCCTCTGCAAGCGCGTAAGTCAAAATAATGGCTCCAGCTTCATAAGAAATAAACGACCTACAATAACTCTTACAAAAGATCGTATAAAATCTTTCTTTTTTTTCCCCGCTTGGCGGGAGCAGTAGTTTATCTTTTAAATTCAAAATTTATTGTTTCTGATCATGAATCATCGACTGGTCGCATGCCTCGCGGTATATGAGCAACACCGACAGTTCTGATTGTCATTTCTGTCTGGCGGAACAATGGAATCATTACGAAGAATGGATCGAACTGCATTAAAAACAGCGAATTGCTTCAGCATGGCCTGTGTAAATGAATTCTATCATAATCTATAATTAAAAATTCAAAGTGAATTTTTATTCATAATTTATAATTATAGATTATAATCTATAATCTATAATTGCGTGAATTTCTTCAAAATTCACTCAAACATTTGATGCCCGGTATCACAAGAAACCGGACTTGTAAGCGTCCATTACACGCGAAGCGAGAAGACACTGGTTTTCATAAATTCTTACGTTTATTTTCTCATCGAGAAAGAACTTTCTTAATTTTGATGTACTTTCAAATTTATTTCATTTAGGTAGCTTTTACATTCTTTGAGGAATATGTTTACTTCCCGCTGGTGTGCTGATAACAGAATATTTCGAGTTTAGGAGTAGATTATTGTCTCTGAATGTTGTTGTAGCAGCCATATGTGTCGGGGACATCATGTGAGATGCTCTCAAGTAGTTTAATTGAACGAATAATGATCTTGTAAGTCGTCTACAATGATCGAACTGTTGATCGGTCGTCGGGTTATAAGCTTACTGTATACTTGAGGGTATATTGCGTGTGCAGATAAGCCATAAATTTATTGTAATTACTAAGAAATTTCCCTTCAACACATTTTATGGGTGATAAAATTAAAATAATGTCTGCGCTTTTACTTTAGAAGTTTGAGGTCATATAATAGTTCGGTTAGGATTTATCTGCCAGCTAAATTGATCATCAAATGGAGAAACATGAATAATGCCTTGGTTTAGCCGCCGTCACTTAATTATGATTTATATTTTTTCGCTAAACACAGCAAACTTTAACTCCAAAGTTCATAATATAACAGGAACAATGCATAATGAATTTATAAATGGATCGGGCTAACGATAGTTAGATATATCATTTCACCGTAGGCCAAATTCATTCAATTAATTTTCTTCGTAATACTTCATTATTTTATTCCAAAAATGATCCTATAAGTATTTGATATGCACTCTATAGTGCCCTGATATATGGATCGCTGTACGCGGTCCCTCACCAGATAAACCACTTCATGTTACCTCATAATTTTAACTGCTTTATTTATAAGTTTATTCCTCGCAAGGAATAAGAACGAAGATTGTACACAAAAATCGATGCGATTTGCCTGGCCTAAAATTGATACCGACAACTATTTCTATTCAACCAATGCTAATCTTTATATAGCATATCTCTCGTAGTATCTTATTCAATTTCATTTAACACGTTGGCCGCGATGTGCGCCATATATGTACACGCTGTACTTCTCAGAATCGCGATGTGTACACATGTGGTACATTCATATGAAAAATACATATTTTTCTAAAATCTTATTACTCTTTCAAATTTAAAATTTCAATAATGCAATTAAATAGGCATGTTAGGGAATGCTTTGAAGTCAACTACTGCTCAGAGAAATAGTTTTATTTTCAAATGCAAGTAATACAAAAATTACGAAATTTGTGTCCATTGATGAAAGCAATATATNACTGCTGCTCACTCACCCGTCACCCTACACCCTACACGCACTTACTGCTGCTCACTCACCCGTCACCCTACACCCTACACGCACTTACTGCTGCTCTCCCACCCGTCACCCTACACCCTACACGCACTTACTGCTGCTCTCCCACCCGTCACCCTACACCCCACACTCACACTAGTGCTACTCGCTCACACTAGAACACTCGCTGGTCACTCGATACTCAACGCTTCATTTTCGGCTGATGGCTCTATGTAAAGCTCGAAATAATTTGACTTATTTCGAGCTTTACGTATGATTGATTTTTTATATATGATTGATTATTTATTAGCAGTAAAACTGGCCAATGCTCATTTATCATAACAGCTCATTTATCATAAACTTTCCATACTTCGTATTTATTTAAATATGTTTAAATTCTAGTAATGTATTTTAATTTTTAGCCCTGTTATTATATCGAACAAATATGTATTTTTTTCAATATAAGTACTCATTTTTTAATCAAAATCTTCTGAAGAGCATGTATGCCCATCGAAAGTAGAGCCGTTTCACCATCACAACACCAGAGTAATCTATCCAGCATTTCACCCAATAGAATACTTTATACAACACGATGTCGGCTGCTTGTCTATAGAAATGAATGATGAACATTACCCTTCAATTCCTTGAATTTCTAAATCAGGAAAAGATCGCGGGAATGTAAATCAAGGACTTTTGTTGGCGAATGATACATTAAACATTCAAATGGAATAATTCAGTTCGACTTTTTTTTGTGGCAGATGTACATTATCAGATGATTATAAATCTTTCATGAGTTTAAACATTTACTTGCCGCAGGGTTGCACTGCAATTTATTCGACATACTTTTGTTAATACAGTTTTTAATTTTGAGTCGATCACTGAAAACAATTTCCGTGTAGCCTAGCTATTGATTACTGATTAAGAAAGATTTTTTGCAATCCACACTAGGATGGACACTATCAGGCAAAAACATTGGTACATATATCGATATATGCATTTGAAATTCAGAACTAGTGACGTGACATCATCCTTTTAAAACGTAAAAAGGCCTACGGGTTGGTATGAGGAAATGTTTTTGTTCATTTCTTTGCGAGGTACGACTTGCCAATCGAAAACATCTTCCAAAGAATTTCCATCACGAAACGGCAATTCAAAACATCACGACAAAGAAGTGACAGCAGCAGCTATTTATCTTAACCCTGCCAGTTACATAAATCATAATTAATGAAAATTCCTCAGACATTCTAATTCATTATGAAGAGTATACGTTCTTATATATATTATATTTAACCCCCGAGGGATCAAAGTTTATCGAAGTGTGAAAATGCTCATGGTCACGATACTCCATTTATATCAACAATTGTCTCTCTCTTCTTAAATATCATACACGTCACTGGATTCAAAATTCTTTGCCCGTTGCATTCATTCGATGGTACATACATTGGCTCCATTAAATGTGGCCACGGCCGTAATTCTGCGTTCGGTCACCACACGTTGTCTTGCAGTGAGCTAAATCACCGAGCCGTCTCCTATAAAGTCACTTAGGATGCGCTATCAGGATACCATTGAGAATTTATTTGACAAATATACGAGCAAGAGTCCGTGGAAGCTGCTCGAAGAGCGCCGTTTATCCGGCCTCTTGCGGGGCACGGCGAGCTTGCAAGCGCGGTAAATTCTGCCAGATTTCTAGAGTCTCGAATAATTGACGGTACGAAGATAACAAAACTCCTTATAATTATTTTTCACTGGTCAGAGGGGTAACCATTGCAGATAACAGAACTCCTTAGAATTATTTTTCACTGGTCAGAGTGGTAACCATTGCAGATAACGGAACTCCTTAGAATTATTTTTCACTGGTCAGAGTGGTAACCATTGCAGATAACAGAACTCCTTAGAATTATTTTTCACTGGTCAGAGTGGTAACCATTGCAGATAACAGAACTCCTTAGAATTATTTTTTACTGGTTAGAGTGGTAACCATTGCCGCCTCTGTTCTCGCATTACAACCAAAGTGATTGGATACGACGTTTCATTCGCACTTCTGTTGGAAGACTCAAATCTACAATAAAATATTTTTTTCCTGCATCTCAAATCAATGAAAAATTTTCCGCTTCTCATCTCAACTACTTTCATCTGAAAGTCTAGAAAAGTTCCAAGCTTCTTCTGAAATTAATATTAATTTTTATCTCTGCGCAAGTCCGAAAATTCTTACCAAACGAATTTCGCCATGCTACGAAAATAATCGCAAATCACCACAACGAGCGTTAGATGACATAGCATTCCGGGGATACCTGAACGCTCAATTCAACTTGAACTTGCGTTCGTCCAGCCTTCATTTTAAAATATTCGCTACGCATAATTGTAATTCTCCGTTGCAGATTTCGGTAATTCTTGTATGAATATGGCAACAAGGAATTTTAATTTATATATGAAAGCAATGAGAACGTTTTAATGTAATGGTTAAGATTATATAAGATTTATTACTAGAAGGTTAAAAAATATTCATCCAATAATGATAAAATTCCTTTGGATATAAATGACGGTCAATAAAATTTTTTTATACATCATATTAATACAAGGTTAAATTCAAATATACTCACATGTACATGCAAATAATTAACGTAAGATTATGTCACAGAAATTTAGCCGTTTAGAAATTATTCGACTGCGAATTCATCATATGTTTTTTTACACTACTCTTTGTTACTGAACGCTGCAATCATGAATACCTCGATGTTTTTCCGTGTTTTACGTCCGACTCTCGGCGTATGACCGCAGTTGTCGTACTTCCTTGGCAGCAGTCGAGGCGCAGAGCGAAATCGGCTGCTATCGGCAACGTTGAGTCAGTAGCAGAGAAATCTCGTTGGTGTGTGGTGTGCTCACTTGCTCCGCTGATCAAAAGTTTCTTTGTGTTCAACAGCGCTCATAGACGACGGAGCTAAATGGTGGTGCTGGAGTCGGAAGGAATGCTGACTGCTGGAAGCAACCAATACTTGCAACCAGATTACTTATCGCCAGTATCAACCACCGTAAGTAATTACTAATGGTTTTTCAGGACTTTCTCAATTTTACAATTGTGTTTATTTCTGGTGGTCTTTTTACTGTGAAGTTTTGGGTGCGAAATTTCCGCTTTAAAAGGCAGTGTTTGATGCAACTTAATTCTGGTTGAGTCACTACAAACCATTTTTAATTAGATGAAGTTTTAAAATTTTACTAATTAGAACATGTTTTAAAATAGTCGAGGGTATTGTGAAAATACACCATGAGGAAAGAAGCACCTAAGCAACTTGCAATGGAAATGCTGGAGAAAAGAACGCCCAACTTCCGTAGTTACGTATTAAAATGGCGCGTGATTGCTAGGTTATGACGGTGCATCTCATTCGTTTTGATGTTTGATTTTTAATGCATTGCAAATAAAATTTTATTGACACTCAGCCTAACGATACTGTGTATATTTCATTAAATTGTTATACTTCTTGCTCTGATATTGCTCCACTATAATAAGCGAACTTTAGTATTATTTTGCGTATTAGCTTAGTGTGGAGGAAGTTTTCTTTTAAATTTAAAATATTTTCAAATACATAGGACCCGACTTTTTTAATGCTTTAAGCCGCAAATGTTCAGCAGCAGCAACGAGGACAATGTAACTGTGTCGTGACGCTAATGCTTACTGGTGTATTTCCTTCGATGTTAGCGAAATAACGCAGAGTAGTTTTGTTGCAGTGCGCAGTCAATTTTTTTTTGGCACGGCGATCAGCATTTGTTTCGTTATTTCAACTCTTGGCAAGTCCAGCACGGTCACTTTTCTGCATCGAATAGCGTTATTATTTGCTATTGCTGCGGATGCATTGATCACTTCACGATAAATAATTAAAACTTATATTGCACTCATCCTTCTAAGTGCCAGTTTGTTCCAACCACTAGAGAGGAATTACGTTAGTGGGTGGAATAGACAAGTGCCATTCAACCGCGTTAAATAAATGTTCAAGAACCTAACCTTTGACAAGATGTCGAGGGTCGCTCGGCTATATACCACGGCGCATCGATTTAAATAAATGTGTCAATAACGACCAACTTACGAGGCTTGCTCACCGACTCCAGCGTCACATGTGATATTTCTGTCACTTTAAACCTCAGTTCAGCTTTAGTTTTCGGAAATTCTGTTATGTATTCATCATATTTACGTATTATTCGTACCAATGCTGCTCCCTGTTATTTCCATTCACATGTCTTGTTATGAAAATTGTTTTCCTTAATTCTCGTCAATCAAAATACCACGATTGAGTAAGGATGCCTTGTTTTGCCGTATCAAAAGTATTACATTTTTGTTTTCGTTACTCAATTTTCTTCACAAACTTTGCCAAATAATGTTGCACTAGTCGTACGTTGTTGCACTAGTCTTATTTTCTAAAGTGATAATATCAGTGTTCGCTCTTATTAAGATTTTTTTAATTTAGTCATTCTCTAAACTGTACCGCCGGTAAAACAAAATGGAAAAGAATGCTCAAGGCCAGGCCACAAAAGGGGCCGACGCTGCGCGCCGCTAGCGCCATTTGGTGCGTCAGTCTACGGGAGTCACACGCCGAGTTTTGTGTTCGATTTTCTGATGTCCATTAAATTCAATTTCGAAGTGGTTTGTTTTCATCATGAATTTCCCAGCGCATTCAAACTTTAGCATAGTTCATTAAGCTATTTTGTGTTGTTGTTTAGTAATAAGCGTAGCCGAAAGCGATAAAATATAACGATTTCTCCTCTCTCTTTCCAGCTGGATTCCAAAAAATCTCCGTTGGCGCTGCTGGCGCAAACGTGTTCACAAATCGGTGCGGACTCTTCCAAGCCTATTCCTTCTGACAAGAAGAAAGACTCGGATGAAAAGAAAGAAAAAACGCCAACGCCAGCTGAGCCTCCCAGGCGTTCACCAGCGTTCAAGCCCTACGAGTCGTCGACGCCTCGGAAGGAAGAACAGGATGAGCAGGCGCGGCCAGCGTCGTTACAGGCGTCAGCGCGACCATCATCGACCACGAGTAACGGCGCCTCTAATCACAACAAAGATGAAGGCCGTCGCAGCAGCGATGCAAGTGCATCATCGTCCAATGCGACGCCTATTATCCGGTCGGGTTTGGAGGTGTTAGCAGGACATCCTAAGGACGTTCCTTTAGGAACATATCGCACTGCAGCTTCCTCGTTTTTCCCAACCGGCTATCCTTCTTTTGAAAGTCATCCAGCCTTCCGAGGTGCCCACCCAGGGCTGCTTCATCCAAGTTTTTCCCTGCCTGGCTTAGCTTCTCTGTCTTCATACCCCGGACTGTACCCCAGTATGCTGCCCTCGCAGTACATATCGTACACTCGCGTCAAGACGGCTGGTGGTGGTGACGCTATAGTGCCTGTGTGCCGTGACCCTTACTGCACCGGCTGCCCCTACAGCTTACAAAACAACCATCTACTTCTCTCTGGGGGAGCTTGCCCGCCCTCCTGTACACAGTGTGAGCAAGCCAAAGCTGCACTCAGTGCTGTGCCTGGTCTCTCGTCAGTCCCTCCGTCATCTTTGGTGCCAGCATCGTCTCTCCTGCCGCCCACGACAGTCTCGTCTCTATATTCGTCCTCATTATTCTCAACAGCTGTCCCTTCTCGCGGCTTCACGTGCAGTTGGATGGCTGGTGCTGATAGCTATTGTGGCAAGCGGTTCAATTCAGCGGACGAGCTTCTCCAACACCTACGATCTCACACTCAAGTGTCAGTTTCAGAAGCCTCAGCCCTCAGCATGCTCTCAAATCCTCTTCACGCTCACGCTGCTCTCCTCAACTCGGCCGCTGCCCATTCAGCATTGCACAGACCATCTTTTTCTCCGCCATCTCTTTCTCCTCTCGCTCGCTACCATCCTTACAGCAAACCACCCAGCGCCCTCACTCCTTCACTCTCTTCACTACCTCCATACCCCGCCACCGCTCTCACCTCAGCTGCATATCCCGGCTACCCCTCCCCGTACGCGAGCCTGTATCCGAGACCTTCTCTGTAGGAGTAGTAATCACTTTGCTCTTCTGTAAATAATTAAAATTTCTATATATATCTAGTAGTGCAATTATTTCTTCAGAAAATCACTGGTTGTGTGAGTTGGTCGCAGATCAAAAGACGGTGCCAAAGTCTCGCTAAACGGACTACAGAACCAAGTTTAGGTGTGACGCAAATCGAGGTTAGGGAAACGAACGGAGAAAATCCGGCGTATTTATTTGGTAGGATACGTTTGTTGTATACACGTTGTAATTCGATCAGATTTTTGTGTGCCACTTGTCCAAACTTAATGTCCTCGTTTCTTATTTTACTCACCGAGAATTTATTATTTTGCATGTGTCCTTATAAATTTACGAATTAGCAAGCATTTGAGGCATTGAGAAATGCTGATTATTATTCGATCGTTCGAAGAAAATATCTCTGTTTATAGCATAATTTTTTCAAATAAATTACATCATATAATTAGAAGAGTTGAAATCGTGACTCATTTTATGCTGAAAACTTGTAATAGTTTGTTGGTAGTATTAATTACGAATCTTACGTTGAATCTTCTACAGATGACGTGCTTCTCCACTCGAAAACACTGTTGCTGACTTGATTTGCTGCTCTCCAATTGACAACTTGTTCTAGCTCCTGATTTTGCCACACAAATAGCTTTGTTTGATGAATTTTCAAAACGTACACCCGAAAAGCTGGTTGTTATTATGGTTTATATTCAAAATTTGTGTTCTAGCCGTGAATTTGTGTTATCAAAAAAGTTAAGGTTAATTACGATATTCGACGTCAACTACTAGAGATCTGGTTCTCTCTTTATCATGCCTGGTAGACGGTCTGCTTATTATTGAGTCTATTGATGAACCGATGTATTTTTGCACAAATTTCGACTGCAATATTTGCACTTTAATCGAGTTTGATTCACGCAAACAGCGATTGTCACGATAATTCTTCAACTTCAATAGCTAAAAAATTCACTTTTTGTCTGAATTTTGTTATCGGGTTGCAAAATTCGTATTATTTTTGTGTACATCACACTGTATTGTTTGGTATATCCCTTAAAGTTTTGAGTTGGAATGTCTTCAAATAAATGTCTTACTTGAAAGCAGTGTCACCGCAATAAGTTGTTTTACTGTTTAAAATGTATTTATTTTTAAGCGGATTTGGTTTAGCGGAAAACCCCTTTCGCGTTAGCGCCATTGTAGTGATTTAAGTAGAATTTCGAATCGTTATTGCGTGCTCGTTGTTTGAACTTGGAACAAGTTTTTTTATTTGTATCATTGGAAATGGTAAAAATCTTAGAATATTATCCAATGTCTGATCTTTTCCAATTCGTGTCTGTTTGATTTTCCGGCGGCAGTAGAGTTTTGGCAGGTCCTGGAATGAAAAATTTCTTTAAATTATTAATGTGTCAGAGATTCACATCTCACGAACTTGAATGTAATCAAGATCTCTCATTTGAACAATTGAAGAATTGCCGTGTTATTTTTACCTGTCCGTTAAGTGCTGCACAAAGTTTTTCCTGTTTAGCCTAGTATAAGCTAAACTTGAACTCCATTAAGATAAATACGAAGCGAGTGCCTCCATAAACCTTCATAATTCTCTTCCGTACAAATCTCAGCAATCCTTGACGCCTGCCGAGGATATTAGTTTATTAAATTTAATATACTTTCGGCGATGATAAAATACCTAAGCTCTTATCACTACTTCAATGGAATCCGTTCAAGGAGATGTGATTACGGATCACAAGCGATATAACCTGGAGGTGGTCACTTAGAAAAACTTTAATGAATTTGCAATGTCAATTTCTGGAATAAATTTTTTTATTGTTCATTGAAAACATAGGTAGTTTTTGTTACTTGCTTATTTGTGCTAAATATGTTGATCGCAGTGTTCATTTTTCCTTATTTCTGGAATGTCAAAATGTTCCAAAATCAATTAAAATGGTTTGTTATGTTTTTAAGCTTATTCATGATTCAAATTACATCCCTTCAAAACGGAAGACCTCTGTTAAATCAAGGACATTATAGTGTGACTAAATTCTACCTCATTTCCTTGCAAATTTTCCGGTAAATTTGTTTTGAATTTATACTGTGTCAATCGGCCATCGGTATTGAAATATTTACTTGGCTTTGTCTCAATTTTTTTCGGTCATAGATACAGTCTTTCTTAGGCCATGTCTGTGATATCATTGCAAAGACGTCACATTTGTTTTCTCTTAAGCCTGTAAATAGACCTCTTTACTACACCCATAATCTATGCGTATTAGGTTTTTTCTTCGTATTAAATCCTTCACTTACTCACGAAATGGCTTTTTCTGATGAAATCACTATTAAAACCTGCATATTTTATTCATTCTGCGTCTTACTATCCTCCTAGTATGTTGACAGATGAAAAATTTTTACAATTGAACATATTTTTTGAAATAACGATACGTAAGCTATTATCACTAGGTACCTTGAATCGAATTCGTTCAAAAATATTCGGCCAAAATCAACCAATTATATAACTGAAAATGGTCACGCAGAGGAACTTTGTTGAATTTCAATTTGTGAGAGGATTTTTTCTCATTATTGTACTGTACTGATAGTTTGTAACGTTTCTAGAAAGCGTTCTATCAATCAATTTACAATCGATTGGATTGCTTACCCGTCAATAATTGTTTGTCATTAATATGACCATTCACAAATCAGAGGGTTCAGAGACATGTATAAACTTTTTTGCATTAAGTCGCTTTTAGATTCGCAAGGGCCTCTTGCTTATCGATATCACAAAAAATTTAGCGTGCAATCCTATAGGGGCGGATGAATATTGATTGGGTTCCCCCAGTGTCCGCTGAGTTTTTACTTTCCTTCAGAATTCCTGACCAAAAATAAATGAAAGTATTTTTAACGTTTGAGGAGAGCCAAATGTATACGCGACAAAAAATATATTTGTGGTTCTCCTACAACAAAGGCGTGTGAAATGCCTCTAATTTGGTCGCTTTGAAGTGGTAGTCAGAAGAACTCGAGTGAGGAGGGACCGTTTGTTTGTACGAGGACGCAAGTCAACGCGTGTTTAGGAGGTTGCATTCAATTTGTTCACACACGAGCACTCTGCCAAATTGTAAGCTGACTCGTTGCGTGCGTCCAAACCGACTCTCGAAATATATGCTAGTTATCCACGCAACTTTTCTAGGTTAAATTTTCTTGGTGTTGTCCAAGAAAGTGCCTTACTTCTACGCACGCAGATCTCGCTTGTTACTAATACGTATGCAGTGTATGTGTAGAACATCATTCCTGTTTGCCTTGAAATTATATTCCTGAAAAACATTCAAAGCTTTAAACAATTTACCTAGCTCAAAAAAAAACGACGCGGATGAGTTTACGTCGTTCTACAGGTACTTTCAATACACATCCGTTACCTAAGAAGAAGGAACACAAACCCTGGAGCAGTCAAGGTTTCCCAAAAATTGTGTGATCGCGCACCACTCGAGAGGTTTCAAAAACCAGGGAAATAGAGTTTCGGATATCCAAAAGAAACGAACGCAACATATTTAACTATATAGAAAAATTCATTTTACGACGACTTCACTATGCTATTTTTTTGCGAATAACCTATATATTTGATAGGAAGTTATGAGGCCTACATGGGAAAGCGTAAGTAAAAGGAAGGTCAGACTACGACTACATGATAAATTTTATGTTGTAAAAAGAAAGATATATATTTTATTATATATGGGAACATTTTTATAAGTTAGGGCAATGAGGCGAAAGAGGACCACAATCCACGGTAGAAAAAATGTTTAAAGAATAAAAATCGTACAGCACGGGGACTAAGATCACTTGACTAATAAAAGCCGATGTCGTTCAAACCAAAAAATGTAAATTGGTAAATTGATAGCTTCTTGCACTACTGTTCTGAGCAAAGTTACATCTTGCTTCTAGCCAAGGCGACAACAGAGAAGACAACTAATGAAATAGCGCTTAAGGTATAAATTATTAGTACTGTCGACTCCTAAATAAAAAAAAATTAAGTTGTTTGGTGGAAGAATTTGATGATTGTGTTCATGTTCCAAAAAATTGAAATATAACTTTAATCATTCATTTTAGGCAAAGCTTATTTTCACTCTCCCGATCTTTAAATTGCTTAAGATGGATAAGTAAAAAAATTGTACAAAGCCAAGCGAGAGCAGAATTGCAGACACCAAATAAAAAATATTAATTACTACTTATGAATCGAAATAATTTGGACTATAAATTTCCTCGCCTGAAGGTAAACCTTAAATTAGACTACACTATTTATTAGCAATTTGGTACTCAATTAAAAAATGTCGGTGTTTGTTTGAAAACAAACAGTGACAAAACCACAGAGCAATGACGCTGCATTTACGCGTGCAATTGATCATTCAATGTCGATGATCTGATACCATGTTATGAATTGGAAAAAGTGTTTGCACTTTTCTCCTGTAGCAACTAACGTGACTTGTGACCCAGGGAATGAAATTGATTGCACAAATGAGAATTTCAATGCTCTGAACGTTAAGCCAGGAAAAAAATGGTAAATAATAATGATAGATTAGTTATTCATTTACCAAAACCATTTAGCACATCTTAGGTTTGACAACCCTTGCTAGTACGTCAGAAGATGTAATTTTATTCACGACATATTGTCTTGAAAAAAGTATTGGATAAATAAATGGACGTGTGATTGGTCATGCATTGGAAATTAATTGGCCTTATAACTGATAACTGTTAAAGACAAGACGTCTTTAGATACAGTTAATGAAGAAATTCATCCATGTCTGAGTTTCACGCTGCATAAACAATGAGAAACTGTTTCGAATTTGAAAGTTTCCTTTCTTTAAATATCAAACAACCTATTAAAAAACAGAATTGTTTGCTTGTAACATTAAGCTATTATAAACACTGATGACCGTAAGAAAAAATATCTCCTTGAGTTGATATCTGGATCAGAGCTAACTACATAACAATAGTTAAAGACTGTCATTATTGTTCAGTCGTCTATGTTTCTATAGTCTATGGCACTAAATTTTACAAAATAAGTTCTGTCAATACCGGGAACATTCACAAATGTTAGCCCCGTAAATTTAGGCTAATACGTTTTCTATTACACTTTGAGGCAGGGACTCATCTTCAGCTCATGAGCGGCAGGTCGCATACTCCCATTGTAATGAACAGCAACTCAACGTGGAGTTGAGGACTCAGATATTTTGTGGGAAGAGTGACACTTCAATGCTGTGAGCAATAGGAAATGATTTTGAGAAAAGCTACTTAAGTGCAGATTAAGAAATAAAACTTATAATTAAACCCATCAAACTGTCTAAGACACACTCGGACACCGTGCAATCGTACCTAAATTGACTGCTCCATTTGAAGTCAACAAGCCCGAAGTAATGGCGCAGTTTTTGTAAACGGAAAAACAGTGCTGCAGAAGCAGTCGCAACGTACGCCAAGACAACCAATGACCACAGGCATCTGCATGTTGTAACATAAGTGCTGCTGCGATCGAATGGTAAGCGATGTCTCCGTGAGTGGGCTACGTCCGGTCCACGGTCCGGATACATCATATCTGCCTTGCTGCAGGACCCCAAAATCAATAATTTCAACGCGATATTTGAACGAACTGAGCTCTTGGAAACATAAATTCTCAGCTAGCCGGTTACTGGGTGTAATGATTTAACTATGATTATTTTGAAACTGATGTTTTGGCAACCTCGCCCGAACCATAGAAAATGTTTGGTTTCCAGAGGTTTTCTTTATTCGTCATAACTTAGGCAGTCGGCCGCTTGTACTTATGGTAAGCGCTTAGGTTTTCTATTGAATACTACTAGAATGTGTACTTGAAATTAATTGTAAGAGCTGCGTTATAATTGTCTGTTGATGTCTTGTTATTGTACTGTGTATTTAAGCATGCGATTATTTAATTGTAGGTATAAGAAGTCTGGAGTACTTCCCTCCTCTGTCGCTCTGTATAATCTTGCTTCTCGACTCCTTCAATAAAACTGCGTCTGAACCGGATCCTGTTAACCTACTAGCCAAAGAAATGTTGGGTGGCACTTAGTTAATTTTGGAATCTATAAAGAAAGGAACCCGTTGACGTCATTACAATGGTTGGCAGGATGATCGTGGATTAGCCGATTAGTCGCTGATGAAATCAGTGTTGCTAAGGTGGTTCTTGTTCAATAGACTGAGAAGTCTTCTTATGAACTTCAAACTGAAAATTTGAGAAAAGTGCAATGGATGAATCGATCGATATTCATTCGTGATGGCAAGGAGTTAGATCTCAGTTAGTGCTTCCTGGATGGCAAGGAGTTAGTGCTTCCTTATATACGTTTTTAAGTAAAGTTAACCAAAACTAAAAAATTATGCATACTTTCTTTGTATACATGCGTTTCACTTTTTCTATTTCTAATTTTTTTTTATTCTACTTGGAAGAAAATTTAGTGGGAGGTGAAGATGGTGATGAACATGATGAAGGTGGGTTAGTCGCTCGAGGCCCAGAGTAAGGTTGGGAGATCCGTTGGTTTGGTTTGTTCTAGTTTTCAGTCTCGTCTTTACTCGAAGTCACTCATGGTGCGTCGTGTCAGTCCGTCAGCGTAATTGGGCCTCTGCGCCCGCCGCGATTGCTGACACCTGCCGACCAGGCAAAGCGGTCCAGTCAAATTGCATTTGATTATTTAGTGTGACTTTTTTTAGCAGCTACACCCATATGCGATTGCTACAACTGACGTCCGGATTTAGCATGGCAAACTGTATAGGTTCTGTGGTTGATGGTTTCATGTATCCCTTCCTTTGAATCGGATCCCTTGTGAATCAAGTCACGAAAAGTTCAAGAATCGGCAACAGGCCATGGGCCTATTTCTTCAACGCCGACACTTCTATTCTATTCTATTCTATGTACATGAATGTATGTATGTGAGAGACCTAATGCTTGTAGTTTGGAACTTTAAAAATAGTTAGTGCTATCATGCAATGGTGCCCTGTGATAAAATTAGCTGGTTGAAGAGTTGTGGGACGTACGTTTTGATAACGGACCAGGTTTTACGTGCGTATAGGTGGAGGACTGGGTTTATGGTGGGTTTGCCACATGGTTTGCATATTAATTATGTAGTTTTTGTGAGGATATGAAATCGGACCAGTGTATGTTGTAATGAATGTAAGTTCTTTGTTTTTGACACTGCATTTGGAATTTTGCTAATTTAGATATGATGCAATATAATATGAGGGGAGCTAATATAAAATAGTTACGACTTACAGTACATGGTGCATTTTATGTTGAGTGGAAGGGGGCAGAATTTTTCTATGCTCTCTAACTTATCTATTTGCATACTTATCTTAGGTGCTAAAAATGCA